ATTTTGCACATGCGCGAGTGTCGCATGAAATGTTCCATCAGAATGCAAAGGGTCTTTGAAGAATGCTTGGATTTACTTGGACAGAGGTGAAAGGAATAGTAAGAGTGTGCCCTTCCTGTAGTCATTATGGACCAGGGTTAGGTTTGGGTATTAATCCACAGGGTGTTAAGGCACTTGAGGTATGGCAAATGGATGTAACACATGTGCCAGAATTTGGTACTAAAAGATATGTGCATGTGAGTATTGATACTTTTTCAAGATTCATATGGGCAATGGCACAGGGGGGAGAAAAAGCACACCTTGTGTGTAGACATCTGATGGTGTGTGCTGCCATTATGAGAGTGCCACAGCAGATCAAGATGGACAATGGCCCAGCGTATGTCAGCAAAAGGGTTAGAAAACTTATGAAAATGTGGGGAGTAAAGCATATCACAGGTATTCCATATTCTCCCATGGGCCAAGCAATGGTTGAGTGATCACATCAGGTTTTAAAGGCACAATTAAAAGAAATCAAGGACATCGATGAGCAATTGTCCAAGGCATTGTTTGTCTTGAATCACTTATGTTTGACTAGTGACCGAGAAGACCCTCCTGCGAGTATTCATTTTCAAACAATAAATATAGCAGCACCAAATGTTTTACCACAAATAAGAATGAATTACCGAGATCCTGCTACAGGAACTTGGAAAGGGCCATACGAGTACAGAAATACAAATAACACCTGTGATTACAGTGACACTGCTAGGCAGGGTTTAGGGGCTTATGGCACGGAGACAAGGGGTTACAAGTATAGCGTTTGGAATAATCGTACAGCTGTGGCCTTACTTCCTGATGTTTTTCTGATTTGCGGGCATAGGGCCTGGCAAGGCATCCTTGCAAATGCTATCAGTGGTCCATGTTACTTAGATAAACTTACTATATTTTCTCCTAGCTTGTCGCAGTTGTGTGAGATCACCAGACATAAACGGGCATTGCTCACATCGGATTGCAACGATAATGTTGAATTGCTTGGTGTTGCAGCTAGAGCAGCATTTGCAATTTTAGTGCCACGAGTGGCATTTGCGGTCGCACTTAACAACTTAGAAAAATTGGTATGCTGGGCCAAGAAGCAAGCCCATGCCACAACAGAGATACTTGAGATGTTACCAGATCAAATTAGTCTGCGACATGCGCTCTTACAGGATCGAGCTGCTATTGACTTCTTGCTTTTGGCAAAAGGGCATGGGTGTGAGGACTTTGAGGGAATGCGCTGTTTGAACCTTTCTGATCATAATGAGTCAATTCACAAATCCATTACTTTCCTGAAAGAGCACATGAGAAAGATTCAATATGATATCAGTCCTTTCAATCAATGGCTTACTGATTTGTTTGAAACAATGCATAGATGGTTACTGGGATTAATCAAAGAGGGATTAAGGATTCTGTTTGTTGTGGTGTTAATCATCATTGTGTGTTGTATTGTAATAAATGTGGTTCAAAGGTTACTTGCAAAACTGTTACATCGGGCTTGGTTTGCTCAAAAAGAAAAAGGGGGTTGTTGAGAGATTTTTGAAACAGCAAGGAGGCCATGACTTGCTGCAGCTGAGCAAACCAAGCTACCAGGACGACTATGAGAAGTTCCCATGACAGTGTTCCCACATCGCCCAATTGAGGAATTTAGAAAAATATTGCTGCCAGCAGCTGGCTTCGAGGGTGGGATCTACATAACTGCTAATCACAAGGGGGTTGTTTTCTTGCAGTTGTTTGTCTGCGTGCTTTTGACCAATAATCTTCTGTGAGACACTATCTGCCCTTGTTAAGTTTGCTATAAAAGTCAGGCTATTCGGGTAATAAAGAGAGAGCATGATCTGACCATATGAGTGTCTGTTGTGTTTTCGGCCGTTCTTCCTGCAACACAGGGCAGTCTTGTCCACACTGTGAAAGCAGGGAGTTGAAGGCTGGCTCACTGGGTTGTCTGTTATCATGTCACTAATAGTGGAAGCCTGTTGTAGGAATCCCCTTAATCTGGCATGATAAACACTGAGCAAAAATTAACAAACCTGGATTGACCAAAACAGGTTCCTAGAGACAGCCATCAGAGTTTTACTGTATTGCAGTTTGTAAAGTCCATTTGGACGTAATAAACCTTTCTTTAACTTGATGATCATAAAATCATAGAGTATCCTGAGTTGGAAGGCACCCACAAGGATCATCAAATCCAACTCCTGGGTCCCTAAAAGCACTACCCAAAAAATCAGACCATGTGTCTGATCAGACCATGTGTCTGATAGCACTGTCCAAACGCATCTTGAACTCCAGCAGGCTCGGGGCCATGCCCTGGGGAGCCCGTTCCAGTGCCTGACCACCCTTTTCCTGCTACCCAGCCAAAACCAGCCCTGTCACACCTCTAACTCTTTCCTCAGGTCCTATTGCTGGTCTCCAGTGAGAAGAGATCAGTGCTTGCACCTCTGCTCTCAAGATGAGGGGGTGCAGCATACACCATGCTGGCAGGTTCCCTCTTCAGCATGCTGAGACATAGGTCTCCTCCAGCACCAGCACTATCCATAAGTTTAAATTCCCAGCTGAGGGTTTGGAATTGCTCTTAGGGAAGGGTAGCACTTTTGTTTAAGCACTTAGTTACCAAATATGCAGCTGTATAAGTTCATTTTTGGATCTACTACAGAATAAGTCTCTCACATTTTCAAATTGAACTAGTGAGGCTTAATACAAGCTGTGCCAACCTCTAAAGCTCCTCTAACAGACTGAACACTTGCTTTTCCTAGAGTTCTGCTGAAGTTAAATAATTGTTCTTGTCCTGTAGAGGGGGAAGTCATTTACAGGAGTATCAAATGTTTTCATATTAAACATTGTTTCCATCAGTTCTGTGAAGTGATAACCTGTCATGGCTGAAGCATCTTTCTGGGAAAATGGTGAGAGTAATATTAGATTATATCAATCACATTAACATCTGCTGGAAGCTAGAAAGCAGGAACTCTGGGCAGACATCAATTCAATTTTAAGTATGTATCTGATATTTAGATGTGAAATGACACACAAGTTGTTCTGGGATGGGGACCTTTGTTGGTGGTGTTATTTTTATCTATTCTTGACCCTTGTTAGGCCAAAAGTTATGTTTTGACAATAAGATATGTCTGCAACAAAACTCAGCCTGTGTAGCATTTAAATTAAGTCTCTTTCAGAAGTCTTAACAGACCACACAGTTTACGTGGAGTACTGGGGAACTTCGTATCACTTTCTTAGTGATATGGTTTAGTGGAGGACTGGTTAGTGTTAGGTCAGAGGTTGGAGTAGGTGATCTTGGAGGTCTCTTCCAACCTAGATGATTCTGTGGTTCTGTGATTCAATTACAAGGTAGACAATACCCCTCTTTAAGGGGCGAAAAGCTCTTCCCCCATCTCAAGGTGATGGAATAACTAATAAATTACTGTCTTTAACTGCGTGATTGGAATTCCAGTCTAGATTAACTCCATGTCCTTTTCATTTGTACACAGATTAAAAAGCAGTAAATCAAAATTCTACTTTCAGTAGCTTCTTCGGGTTAGCAGAGAATATTGACCAACTATTTAAGGTTAAAGTACGTTTGCTCAACTTAGATTACTTACACTGCATTAACATTCATTTAGCTAACATAACAGAAGCACAGTCTGTTGCTTTAGCTGACAATGCTTGCAAATATAACTGAGAGAGGCATGGGCTGAGGTAAAAATGCTAGATTGTGACAGGTCCAGTCACCCAGGGACAGTCACGCTGATTTTATCCATCAATTCACAGAAAGAACACGTGGCAAAATCTGGAGCAAAGTTTTTGAAAAGTGTAGGCAAATAATTGCACAGAAATGAATAAATAACTTATCAATCTCACCTTCTTATTTCTAGCAAATCCTTGCTCTCTAAAGCACCTTTGTCATCTAAAGATACGGGAATGCATGGGTCGGTTGTGTCTCCATTGTCCTGTCTTCATGACCTTCCTTCCACTGCCAAACTGCCTGAAAGACTATATACTATACATGTATAAGGAATATGATCTTTATGGACAGAAAAACTTCCTAGGAACCTCCAACCTCAGCTGCGCTTAATTATTAGCTCTATAATTTGGAGGGAATGTTGAAGTGGGTAAGACTACCTTATGCATCTCTTTTCTTCTTTGGGGATTTTTATCTCATATGTATATTAAGGAATATGAAATTTCAGCATTCCCCTCTTACCTCTGAAGAAAATGGGGACAACCTCAAACTGTAAGTATTGGTGATCCCATTCTATATAAATATGGTGGAATATAGAATATCTCAAAGTTATGGCCATACTGCTTTAAATGCTTAGCGTGAAAATTTAAAGAACTGTTAAAATCACAGGTAGAGCTGTAAACCTTGCGTTACTGCTAGGTTAAAGGCTGTTGTAACATGTAACACTACCTCCAACTGAAAGGTGAAACTCAGGGTTTGGTTGAAGGCCATGAAGTTAACTTAAACCAGGAAGGATCTTTTTTTTTTTTTTTTTAAATCTTGTACCTTCCCTTCTCTTGCCATGAAGTAGAGGTTTTATTTATGTAGGTCTACAGCAAAGTTCTAGAAAGCAGCATAAGTAGATTTTTTTCACCCAGTTAGATGATCCCACTTCCTAAGCATGAAGCTGGGATTAACAGCTACAGCTGCCTGCTTATTATCACAGCTAGCGTGAAACACCAGTGATTCAACAAGGCAACAGTACTTCTGAAACAGGTTAGTTCTACATCTCAGACTCTGAGATGTGTCTGACGTGTCTCATCCACTATGTATTGGATCGCTCTCTTTAGAACTATCTTCCTTTCACAGTGCTGTCCCAAGACATGCTTGCACTTTTTGGAGCTGCTCTTGAAACAGTTGCAGCTTAAGCTTATGAAACATTTGCCTGAGACCAATCATCACTGTTGTCTTAAGAAAGTCTTACATGACACACACAGACCCACAGCATGCTTATTCTGTACTGATACCAGTTTGTGTAATTAAAAAAAAAATCAACACATGTGGTATTAATAGTATTTATTTATTCCTTCATTATCAGGTAAGCATAGATTTTCTCGTTATACATGCATCTGTATTCACTTAAAGTTACATAATTGAAAAGTCTGCTTTTCTCCAGAAAAATCTACAAATCTTATAAAATACAAATTTAACCATAATGTAGTTATGACCCCTTGCTTTTTACACTGTGCCTGTCATGTAATTAAGAAAACTAATGAAGCCAGTGAAAATATGTAAGTACCCATGTTAATAGTTGTGGTGGTATAGCTTCTGTACACATTAATTCTGATCATTACCATAACGACAGCTCTGTATAACGTGCTACACATCGTCAGGTAACTAGAGCAACATGTGCACTAAAACAGCCAGCTAAGAGAGTAAGGATTTTCTTCTAATGTTCAGTCTTTGATTGTTGCAGAAGTTATCAGCATTCTCAAGTACAGCAACTTCCTCTGAGTATATCTGGCTAATATGATTAAACTTAAGGGAATTGAAATATCGTTTGACAACAGAGGGATTCAACTGCATGTTAAAACTTCATTCAGTGGGAGGGAATGCATCGTCACCAATAATGGTGCTTCCTCAAAATCAGTATTATGAAATAAGCAGGCAGCTTTCGCATCAGTACAAATTCCCCCCTGGAAGTTATTATACTTAAGCTTTTATTTAACCTACAAAATGCTGACTGAAGCTCTGGCATAATACATAATTTACTATTCATGCTTCCAAGATTAAGACAACAATCAAAGCTGAATTAAGTATACTAGTGGAGGTTTTAATACAGCTATTCAGGGAAAAAGCGTGTAAGTCTCAAACATTGCAAAAATCACATTTCACTAGAACAGGACCCATCCAGAACATCATTGTAAGAATTTGACCACTCCACTGTATTATAAAAATGACCTGAAAGATTGTACAAAATCATTGGCTTGCAACATGGACTCCATTAGGGATACAAGTGCATTCATAATGACACAACAACTTACTCATGTCATAATAACTTAGATACCACTGTGGCAGGACAGAAAAAAAAACACAACTTACTGCCTGGGTGAAAAAAAAAAAAAAGCCTCGGAGACTGATAGACTTGCAAGAAGTTTTCTAAAATAGAGCAAAGGAAATAATATAAAATATCAGCTCTTGTTCTTAGACTAGATGTTATCTCAATTAAACTCAGTAATCAGAGGAAGATTTTCATTCTCTGTGAATTCTGAAATAATAAGAGACTATATAACAAAACTTCCTCCAGTGGCTTCTCCTACATTCTGTGCAACTGTAATTCATCAGAATTCACCTTAAAGATATGCACAGTCAGTTTTGTTTCTGTATATCAATGTACATCAATTACATCTTTATAAACGGTTTTGCAGTGTTAGGTTTTTTAGCTATGGGTTCACATCCATATGAAGATGAAATTTGACTGGACTGTAGAAGGGAAATATTTCTGAACTCTTAAACATTACTTGACTGTTAATATCTTAAATTGTCTTGATATAGTTTAAAACCTAAAAAGATTAAGGAAATAACAGACTGTCAAATCCACGTTAGTTTATACAACACACTTGTTACCAGTTCTGTGTGGCTAAATTGCATATGACTGTTAACTTGTCCTCTGGTTTAGACTTCAAGAAATATATTCCTGGCCATAAAAGGAGTGCTAGGTATTATCTGTAATGCAATAAAATGCATTTCCATAGTTTGCTCATGCTTCTTTTATGTTTTGATATTCATGACGTTATATACATAAAGAACTTATGTAGCTTGAAACAACTGACAGCAAGACCTGCATGGTCTACATAGTGTAATAAACTTAATATCCCTTACGCAATGGAAAAAAAGTCAGTAACTGTTCGGCTGGAATTAGCAACGTAACTTAGTCCTAAAAAAACACTGCTGACCTATGCAACATTCTTTTAAGACTGTGTACTTGAAAAAATAGTTTCTGCAATAATACGAGGTGAGCTTGCTAATCTATTATCTGTCTTCCCAGTGGAGCGGTGGCTATTGCAGCTAATCTTACTCTGACAGTTTGGTGACTAGATTCTAGAAACTGGATACCACTAACCACATTCTTCCTGAGGTGTTGCATACTTACTTCATCTTCACCGTGTACTTAAGGAAGACGCAATAACCATGAGCTGTGCTAGCATGATACATGTATTTTATTGATAGAAAGCAGAAATGGTGCAGCAAAAAAAAAAAAAAAAAAAGACCATAAGAGAAAGAAACACAAACTAGATCAATTTCCAGAAATAGTTGCATGGCAGCCAGTTTATCTGTAAGCCTGTATTTAGGCACAAAAAGGAGAAAAAAGAAAAGATGCATCTGCTGCCTTTCTGTACTTTTTTTTGAATAAATAAAAACAGTATCTTACAGATGAGATGACAATACAAGACTACAAACAAAGTAAAAATGCCATTTAAATTTTGTGTTTTTTTTTTTTGTTGTTTTTTTTTTTTTTTAAACAAAAAAGCCTCAGTTTTGTATGATCCATGCGACGGTGTGCTGGCCAAATCTGGCCACAGGCTGATGCTATTGGGCGTGACTGGGCAACACCGAAAGCAGTTACTTCTGCAACTGGCTACAGTGGGGATGAAACATTCTGGAACCGGAGCTGCTAACTACCTAAGGAAGAGCGCCTTAAGTCTCTTCGTTGCTCGGTCTCCCACACCACCTCCTCTTTTAACGTAGGAATATTGTGACCACTTCCACAGCTGCTCAGTCTCTTCTATATGCTATGGGGCCTGCGGCATCACGCAAGCTACTCTAGTTTCTGCTGCAGTAGCAGCCCCAGCAGAGCAGACTTATTCCTGCAGCAGGCACTGCTCCCTTCTCTCTCCTGCTACAGGATCCAGATGCAGTTAAGTTTCTGCATAGAACTTTTCATCTCCAGCAGAAAGAACAGGAGGAGATTGCCATTGTTAGCCGCTACTCCTGTGTGTGAGGAGAGTTAAGGATAGCATTCCCTCTGTGCACCTACAGATGCTTAGCAGAGAGGTACTGAGCTTCCTCCCTTACTTAATCAGTGCCAACCAACTCTAGCTCTAAAGGACTGGGCCATCACCAGCTGATGGGAAATATTCTGAAAATTGCTTCAATTCCTGAACACCAGAAACACCCTGCAATAAACTGTAAAACAGTCATAACTTATAATACAACTTGGAATATAAGTATTTTCTTTCTACATTTCCTATTACTTTCAGGCCCCTATTAGAGAGAGAACTGTATCATTGGAGTTTAGTACTTACAGTAATTAGTGCAAAAATAAATATTTCTTTTTACTTCAAACAAGTTTTCTCTTCTGGATCCAAAGATGAATGCACATTTAGTATTATACAAAATAAATGTTACACAGGGTATGAACCATGGAGTTCAGGCTTACAAGGTATAAACAGGCATTACTTTGAAAAACATGTTATGGGATTTGATTCTAGGATGTAGACTAGCATAGTCTTTTACTTCTGTTTGCAAAATACAGCTCCATAAAAAGTCTTTAAAAGCCTTAACTCATTTTCAGTAAACGTAGTGTACTGGTAGCAAGGCATTTATAGATTCAGAAGATTTTTCAAATGATAAAATTCAAGATGTTCCTGCAACTCTAAGCATGTTTTTTTTTGTTTGTTTGTTTGTTTTATAAAAAAAGTGAACTCAAAAGCTCACAGATTCTTATTTCATATAGTGGGGAAAACCAAGAACACGGCACTTCTGCTACAAGAATATATACATTATTCTTACTGTTTGATAAGGAATGTTTTATACATTCCTCACGCAGTGTAGTGCAACTGCATCTTTTCAGTTTTTATATAGGTCTGACAAAGTATTTTTTTCTTTCCTGTTCAAAGAAGCCTTCCAGCATTATATACACAAAAAAAAAGAAAAAAAAAAATCAAGATGTGCAATACGAAACAAAAAAAATATGATCTTCCTGTCTAGAACTATTGCACATCTCACTGATGTTAATAGGGATGTTTCTTTCTAAGGACAGTTCTGTGCAACAAGTTATGTTAAAGCTTAGCACTGCCTTATTTAGGCATCCACTTTTGTTTCCAGCAAGGTGTTCTGCATACTTGTGTAAAGAATAAATTTCACCATACTGTTTAAGAATAGTCAGAGTTTTAAGTCTTGATTCAAAAGCAGTCAATTACACAGGCAGGTAAAAGGGAAAAAATGTAAGAGTTTTTCCATACTGCAGAGAATTTTTTGAGAAAACAATTTTGTAATAAACACGGTAGCATCACCATGCTTTATCTGGCGTACAAAAGAGAAATTATACTGACATGAAAGTAGAAATAACTTAATTGAGAAAGAAAAATCAAGGCATATACGGGTCTACACATCATGTAGTTTTTTACCTTTATACAATACAACAGACCCTCCACTTACATTTCACTTCTTGTAGAACTTATATCCATGATTCCAATTTTAATTAAGTAGGCAACCTTAGGTTTCATATTCTTTCTTCTTCTTTCCATCTTCTCCTAAATCGCTGTCTTCTGACTGGCTACTGCTAAGGACTACAAAGTGTCCTTCTCCACCACTTGGGTTTGATCTGCTGGAAGCAGCTATCAATCGGCTTTGCTCCTCTAAATCCTAATTTAAGAAGAGGGGGGAACAAAGGGGAAAAAAAAAGTCAGCAAAACAATACTCATTTTAAAGTTGTCTGAAGTGGAAACAGGATAGCATTATTCTGATTTGTAAATTGTCTTTTAACATTATCAATGGACAACTTTTTCTAGAGAAGGGGTTAAAAGAACAAGTAGGAAACCAAACTATTTTGGCTTCAGTAGCTGGAATTATTAGAATACATCTGTACCAGCAACCCATAAGAAAAAGCAGGTTAGAACAAGGAGCTTGGCCTACAGCCTGCAGACCCTTCCTCACTATATAGCAAATGAACCATCTCTGTACATGGCAGACGGTTACTTGCCACATATGGGGCAGTTCATGCATGTGGCAACAGTGTTTTTATTTTGGGCCTGTGATAGTTGTTCCTTCAAGCACTGCTCCTGAGTGCACTTATAAAGATGTTCTGTGTTCTCCTCAGAATAGCTTTTTAAACATGACTGTGAAATTATACAAAATCTGCACAGGAAATACTTTCAAAAATTAACTTTATTCCACAATGTTCTGGGAATTTGTACTAAAAACTGTGAGACTGTAGCTGGAAGTAAAAAACTACAAAATAAAGATAGCAAGTAGGAAAAAAAAAAATAAGAAATAACATACCTTTTCGATTTGTTTTTGTTTACTTAATTCTTTTTGTTGTTTCTCTCTGACTCTCTCTATTTCTTTTGCCTTTTCTGATGCTTTTCGATCCTGAAGGGTAAAAATGTTAACAAAAGTAATGAACAACAGTCTGACATGTTTGATACAGTACTGATTTATATGAGTTTGTTCAAAACTGTTAAACACTTAATTAGTCTTCTCTTAATGGACAGGTATGCTTGGTAAAGGTATTAAGAAATCATCTTGAATATTGTTCTACCGTAAACATGGCTCAAAGTCTTTTTATCTCGGGTTTAAGTTCTATAAAACAAATCCCTTAGAATACTTCACAGCAGCATTCACTGCATCTATAAGCATCTTGCAGAATATATTCTGTTACACATACTACATATACAGTCTCCATTCCCTTCTTGAGGGTACCTTCCCCTAAAAGAAGATGCTTACCAGTTCTGCATGAAGAGCTATCTGTTTTGCCAGTCCAACGGAGTCACAAATCTAAATACAAAATATAATACAAATCTAAATACAAATCAGATTTGAAATAATCTGTAAAGATCTAATACAAATGCCTTTGAAAATACACCATATTGTCATATCAGATATGACGGTATATTAAAACATTTTGCGGTACTATCAGGTTAACTCTTTTTCAGTACATAAACAAAATACTTAGCCAGCTTGAATGGATTGGATCTAACATATTTGAATCCATGTCAGGTTCCAAACCGATACAAATGTAACTATCACCAATACCTTTTCCCCTTCGTTATTTGATTCAAATATATAGCAGATGGAAGTTTGGCGGTTGTCAACTCTCCCTCCTGAAGTTTTCAGCACAAATCCAAAGAGGCGCTTATTCTCCTGGTGTGTAGCGTACAAGACTACATTGGGCAAAGGAAACTGCCAGAAAGGATCAAGTATGGAGATATTAAAACCGGTTTCAGATATTTTCTATACCAAGTTTCACTGTACTGCACATTACTTTGTTATCAAAAATATGCAACCACACCAGCAAAAGTTACAATCTGACTGGGCATGCAACTGCCAAACACAAAAAAAAAAGGAATTTGGAAGGGGAAGATTAAATGATTCAGAAGATAGAGGAGTCTCATTTGCCATGAGATTCGGTCATCTTTCTAAATGCAAATAAGCATTTTATTTATTTTTGAAAAACAGATACACATACATATTGCATTTTTGACTAAGCTTTCAGTATTTGGTGCATTTCTCTAGAACTTTGACTGCAAATAGTTCAGCTTACCTGAACTATGTAAGCAAGAAAACAAGCAAAAAAAAATCCATATAGCCTTACTATTTTATTACAATAAAAATACTTTGCATTCTCAATTCCTAAAAGAAGTCAGAGTAGACATTTCAAATATATGCTTTAAAAACTTGACAAAGGATCAGTTTTTAAATTCTGTAGGGACCTATTAGAAGTGTTATAAACTGACAGGATGAGAGTTCTTCTTAACCTTAACTGCACACACTTAGAATACTAGACATTCTCACCTTTAATAGCTTCCAGCTTTGGGGCAGTTTTGAACTTGGTGTCACAAAGGTAAAAAAAAAAAAAAAAAAAAAAGGGAAAAAAAAAAACTAATATTTTAAGCTGTGGGTTTCATATGCTTAGGATTTCCTTTTACGAAAATGACAATTTAGAGTCCCTGACAAGTTGAGCATCTTTAAAAGAAGACCCAAAGAAGTTAAATGACAGACCTGAAACTGTGCAGAAACAAAGGGCAGAGAGGGGAGCAAGAGCTTCAAAATACAAAAAATAAAGATTGCTAATACTGAAGAATGAAGTTTGCCACATTTCATCTGCTATGAAGAATTCCACCTGTTTTTTCATGTAGATTTATTGCAAAAAAAAAATCAAAAACATACAACACTAAGCATAATTATGGATTAAAAACAACACAAAAAAACAAACACCAACCCAAACCTATTGGACTTCTGAACTTATTTAACTCTAACCTTAATAATACTTCTCTACCACATACATTAATATTTCTAAACAGACACATTATTAAAATAAAATATTATTATTTTCCTAAGATTTTACCCTATAAAATCATGGGAAAAAAAGTTTCAAAAACCTATTTCTCCTATTAAGATCATTCCCCTTAAACCTTATTTTCTAGTGTTTTTCTGTTTATGTTTAGATGTTTGCATCTGTCTCCCAATTTTCATGGAAATTTTTGTAGAAATTTCATGCTGTCAGTGATTTTTGCTAACATTTCATAATATCATTTTAAAAGTAATAGAAATATTTTGTCAGATATTTATCTCAAAATGTAAAGTTACTTACTCGTAGTCTTGTAACTTGTGTCTGTGGATCGATTAACCTAAAAAATTGTTTTTAAGAACAAATCAGAAAGTAAATTTTACTTTCATTCACAAAGTGAATGAAGATTACTCTATAAATAAACATCAGTAGAAGTCAGAAGCAAACTTACTTTAAACAGTCACAAGTGACCAATAAATGTGATTCTGTCATCCGGAAAATGTTATGGATAGCCCGAGCTGCTAATATTTGACGCATTGTTTCATAAACAACGTCTGGACTTTCATCAGACTTCACAGCCATAGAGCCAAGAAATCTTACAATAAACAACTGATGAAGAATTGAATCTAAGAGAAACAAAAGTACTGAGTAAGTGATCTCCACTTTGGGTCTTCCATTCCTGCAGTCAGGAAAACTCCAGGCTTCCAATAACTTGAGAAGAGTTTGCTTGTATCTACAAATTACAGGTACAATTACTAAACAGCGAGTCACACATCTTTTCATTTCATTTCATGAATACAAAAGATGCGATACAATGATTAAAAAAACAAAACAGGACTTCCAGGCAGTCTGATTTAACTCGTCTAATAATACATTGCTAATGTAATATAACTAAGCACTCTAAAAATGGTGTTAAATAAGAAGGTCAAGGTGAAAATAAAAATTAATTTGTAAATTCTATTATTCACTTTGTATTTAAGGTTTGTTTTTTATTTTTACCTTCTGTTTCAGATTTTGAGCCTCCAGATTCACCAAAAGGATTTGCACGTCTATTAAAATATGAAAACATTAAACCAGGAGTCAGATTACAAGAACCACTAATGAATAATGCTGTAGTCTCACGTTGCATCAAATAAGATCAAGGTGTAATGATTTCACAATTTATGATCTGGAGGAATAACGTGTTATAAATAATAAGAACAAGCAATTTAATTGGAAGAAAGACATAAATTGCTATATTCGAGGGCTCAAATTACAGGCAGAGTACCAAGCATTCTGTCTTATTGCTACCACAAAGAGTTTGACTCACGGTATTTCTTATACTCAAATTAAGCCCAAGTCAAAGCTTTGTTATTTGAAAAGGTACAGTTTTAGGCAATGAAATACCGAATTCAGGAATTACAGCCAAAAGCTAGTACTTTCATTATTCTGTAGGAGCACCGCATCTCTTACCACTATCTCAAGTTGTTGAATTATTTACTGAAAAAAAGTCACTGGTTTTATTTCAAATGCAGCTTCCTGAAAACATCACTGGGGTTTTACTCTTAGAGGGTCAAGAGAAATGTGGTTGTTTCTGCCTCTCAAAGACAGAAATACTACCAGTAACAACAAAAAGTGAAAATATTCTAGGCTTCCAAGTCTACATTTTCAATAACAGTAAAGCAATGCTGAATAGAATACAGGGAATGGGAAATTAATTAAAACTTCTAAACCCTTTCTCCTTGGCTAACTGGCAGCTGAAAAACTCTTGTCAAGGTTTTGTAAACCTCAAATTAGGTTTTAATAGGGAGGTAATGAAGCTATCACCTCTCAACGGTTAACATTCTAAAAGCAAATTTCAGAACTAAGAGAAAAAATATGTGAATCCAGCTACATGTCGGAAATCTTGTCCAGTTTAATAAAATGGTTCTAGATTGAACTCTGAAGTCAAGATTGCATCACTATAATGCTTAAATAACATGGACTCAATCAAGAATCCTCCCATTGAATGCTGGCCTGCGTAAATATACTACAGACAAATTACTTCTATTAGCATCTTTTATCACTTAGATTCTTCTGGACATTTAAGACTAGATGGGAATAGTAATGCAAAATCTCACAGGATCTCACAAAAAAAAAAGATTAAATACATGTCAGCAGTATCAGAAAGTCAGGAAAATCTTTTTAAAAAATTAAAAAATTAATAGCTCTAAAATTGCAGTGTTTGGTACAGATGGCAACACACTATTCTTTACTGATCATGTATGGTTAATTGAAAATACTGAGCACAACTGAATAATTTTTGCTATGAAAAATATGGCGGTTTTTTTTTAGAATAATTGATGACTTGAATTTAGCTCAAGTATTAAGCTTTCCAATTCCTGAAATATAGTTCAAGATTTATTTTAATCAGTATGCTCCTAGGGGTTTAGTTAGCCTGTAATACCAAACAACAACAACAAAAATGTCAAAAAATATTAAAATGTGTATCATTTTAACTCTCATATATCTGTAGTACAACTGAAAGTTATTTTTCTAGAGGGCAGGAGAATACAATACACATTATTGTGACTAGAGTCACATCAATTAGTTTTCAGCCATTTTTCTTTTTCTACAAGAGCAGCTGAATCTGCAAAAGTTTTCTCAATATCTGAATTCTGTAGGTACAGTTCCAGAAATGCAGTGCAGATTTACAGTGTTTTATTATTATTTTTGAATTGAAAGGTTTAAAAATAATAATAAAAACAGGAAAAAGGGTTTTTATGTTTTGGGATGAGCTCTTAGACAATTTTAACTTGTCTGTATGTCAGATTACTCTAGAAGCCTAGATCATTTTCACTCACCTTTCAGGTTAAGAAGAGTGTCATCGTATGCCATCATCACCTGGAAGCAGGGCTACCAAATTTCTCTTGAGTTTCCAAGAGGAAATAACCCAAGCTGCTGGGTAAGCAAGCAATAGGAAAGGAAAATACTTCATGAAACCAAATGATTAAAATAATTCAATAAATAGATCATTAGCTGTTACAGTAAGAATAGCTGCTGCAACAGAGAAAATAACATTCTGAATCTAATGTATGTAAATAAGCCACATTTTACAACTGAATTTAACCAAAAAATATTTCTCTTGCTTTGCTGGTCACTGTAAATTTTTTGACAAGAAAGAGAGTAGGGACAGAGGCAACGTGTGTGTTGGAGCTGCTGCCTAAACATATAATATCTATATTTTTTAATTAATATTTATTTGGGGACTTTATTTTTTCCTTCTTTCTAGATTTCCTACCTGCCTGCCTGCCCTGAAGATTTTGCTTGACCAGGCAGATCTTCACTAACTGGAGATATTATGTCAAATTGTATAGGAGTGTCAGGGGCAACAAGTGAATCCAAGGAAAGTGCAGATAAAGTTGCTGATTCAGATCCCACTGACCCTGTGCTGCTAGTATGAGCTGCAGTAGGACGAGATTGTCTGAAACAATACAAAAAATGAACATGAAGATGTGTTAATTTCAGGTTGGTTGATAATAAATTCAACTATATGGAGGATGAATACAATATTCCAAAAACAAAACCTAAGAAACTGAACAAGATTAGGATAAAGTAAATACAACAGAGTCTACCTTCCAAACAAATCTGAATAATGTATAATTACTACTTGCATTAATAATGCTACCAGATGGTCTTAACATCAATATATAATCACATATGAAATATACTACAAGCTGAGGTCTGCTTCCAGGAGTTGTACACATTAAGAAAAATCTCATGAATACATAGAACAAACAAGCCATATGTGATATAAGTAACAAAACTGTCTATGCTCAGCTGGAAGTCTGGATCATTTGTAACATTATTGGATGCTAAACAATGATAAAAAGATGAATTCAGGACATGTTCCTCTAGCCTTTCAAAGCATTAGTTCTGACATTTTTGAATTCCCACCCCCCCCCCCGAGCTTTATGCAGGATTCTTTTTATGTAAGTGTTCTTCAAATGACCCATAGTTCAGCAACTTACACAAGTGGACGTATGCTCTCATGCCTCTGCTGGAAGGAAGGGGATGGAGTAACAGCTTCTAAAGCTGACTGATTTATACGTGCAGCAATTTCCTGTAATAGAGAGATGGAAAAAAATAACTGAAAACATTGCTCTCAAAGTACATTTTCAGATTTTAGTTTTACATGGAATTGACAGAAATATAAACTGTCCCCTTCAGTAACATAGTTGCAGTATTTTCTTTAACTTGTAACATTTCCTGCTATTGCACTTGCTTTATAATACTGCATACGTTAGCATATGCATATGCCAGCAGTAAAATTGCAATGGCAAGTCTGACAAAATAAGCAAACGTAGCCATGCAGAAAAATAAAAATCTCACTTAAGACACATTGTCTTCAACTACTAACAAACAAAACATGGAGATTCAAAAGTCTGCACTTGAAATTAGGGAACATTCATAGGTTTCTGAAAAATGAAGACATAAATGACTATCAAGTAAGCACTACATAACAATGTCATTTCAGCAAATAATGGACCTTGTACAGTTGAAGAATTCCACTTTAATCTTCCATTGATGCTTCCAATTCTGAAGCATCAGTATTTAATATTGATGGCTTCACTTCATATGTAAAGCCAGTGGAAGAAGTCACTGGGTAAAGAGAATTTTAGAGAGGGAAAATATCTATATCTGTCCAGATATTTGCAACATTAATTGGCAACAAAATATCATATACACAATACAGCTAAAAGGTCTTGCAGCTGTCAAAATGTTATACCAAACATAAAAGCCACATCATTTTAATGCTTGCTACATAAGCATTTAGATGAATGAAACAACAGAATGCATGTTTTCATTAATTCATGAAGCACTATCAAACCATACAATGATAAACTTCAGATTAGACATGTAGGAAGTACTCAGCTTAATCCCATGCTGATTAGGTCCAGTTGATCCCTTTTTAATTTTCTGTACATCTGTATCTGAAGACATTACTGATATTATCAATTTTAGTGAAGTTACCTCAGGGTTTTCGCTTAGATATATCTGTTTAGATATGTTGTTTATTGTGCATATCCACTGAAAAAGAGAGGGAAAAGAAAAAAAGAGAGAAAACGTTAATTTTTTCATAACTTTTTCAAGGAACTTGATTAAATACCTGAGTTGACTAGTTTCAGCACCTTTTCTACTTCCTTTGTAATTTCAGGAAGCCAAACCAGTATTTTCTTCACACTCAATTTGCTATTGAATTCACTGCTATCTGCATTCTGCACCTTACAATATCAGACTTTACTTAAACAATTGTTTCAGTCACACTGAAGATCAAAACAAAAACAAGCTTAAATCACGATTCTATGGAATATAATTTTAAAAAATATTGTATTGTTCCTACTCCAGCAGGGGGATTGGACTAGGTGATCTTTCAAGGTCCCTTCTAATCCCTAACTTTCTGTGTAATTCTGCATCTGTGTATTCTCTGAACTCTATTATTTACTGACTGCACATTACATTGTTTTCTCCAAATATTATAAAAATTCCATCTGCGTTCTGTGGGATTTGCCCATCTCTTGCACCTCTAAGCTAAAACCTCTTTTCTCACTGTACTATGAAAAACACCCTTTGCTCCTGCTCCTTGCTTTTCAATTTCTGGATTATAACTCCAAATTTTCAACAATTATATATATATACACGCTAGCAACACTGTTCCACTGAACCTGAGCGGCTTGTTTTTAGGCTTGTCGCCTGAGCTATCTAAAAGCACAGCAGCTGCAGCTCAGGAAATCACAATTCCGAGCTACTGAGGTTGACTACAAGCTGCCTTCTACTAGTGGGTCTTCTGAAGGTAAATGTTTCATAGTTAGGCTATACAACTTTGTACTGGGTCTGGCTGGGATGTTACCTTTCCCTGCAGCAGCCCATACAGTGCTGTGCTCTGCATTTGTAGCTAGAACAGCACTGGTATCACACCATATGATGTCACACTCAGCAATAAAAGGTGGAAACAGGAAGAAGAGGGGAGGGGTGGGCTCTCGTGAAAACGTCGGTCCTCCTCCTGAACACCAGCTACGTGCATTGAGGCCCTGCTTCAAATACGTGGTCAAGCATCGCTCATTTGAGGGAAGTAGAGAGTAATTTCTTTCCTCTGCACTTCCACATAGCCTTTATTTGTGTGTGTGTTTTTTTTTGTTTGTTTATCTGTATGTTTTTCCCTTTTCCCCCTTTAGTTAAATTGTTAGTTAATAATAATCTTTCCTTAATAATTATTATTATTATTTCCCCTTTAATTAAATTATCTTTATCTCAACCCGTGAGTTGTTCTTTACTTTACTTCTTCCCCTCCTCATCTAAGGAGGGGGAGCGAGAGAGCGGTTGTGGTATTTAGCTGCCTAGCACGGTAAAACCACCACAAACTTCAAGAGAACAAACGAAACAGGGCCAACCTGACATAGCCCAGTTAAAAATCTCAGAAATAGCATTAAAGGCTTACATCAATGTACTATTAACGATCTCAGAGGAATGTGAATTGAGGCTGAAAGTACTGTATTTTCTGTATTTTCTGTATTTTCTTATTCTGTATTCACAAGCAGTCTTGAAAGCACCCCAAAAGCAAATCATGCCCTATTTCTTGATTCAACTATTGTTCATTAAGTATATTTCCCTGATCATGCATCGGGGGCCACAAAACATTTTCTCCTCACTTTTCAGCTGCCTGTATCATTACTTGTGTCCTAACCTAAAATCTCCTTTATTTTCCATTCCTGAAAAGCAGGTACAATCAAAGAAGCATAGGAAAACACAAAAGGGAAGAAGCACCAATTGCCAAGCTTCCATTACTAATATCTGTTTTGCCGTGGACTTTTTTGTTTTTATTATTATTCCATAATACTGAAAACAAATTGGCCACAATCAGAACAGGATTTTTTTTTCTTCCAGTATTTAAACACAGTAGTACTTTGTCAGACTTCCTGAAATGTATTATTACTATGGATAGCAAGTTCACTATTTATTACCTAAACCATACAGAACATGCACTCCAATTATTCTTACTAATGTATTCCCTTCTGTGCTACAGAAAATCACTGGACTCCATGTGAACCACCAGTAAGCTTACCTCTTCATAATCTTTTTTACTCTCTGCCTGTAAGATTGAAGACCTGAAAGAGGAGAATGAAAAATAAAGTTCTGTCTACTTACAATGCCTTAATTCCATTTAGACAGGGAACCCCATTTTCATGTTCATACATTGCACAACAAATTAATAAAGTCTGAAGATGCTACGTACATTTAATGGGTAAAAAGTCTTATGTTTTCAATTCAAGTGAAAATGAACAAAATTCTGTGCCCATGTAATAAGCACTCACATAATGTAGTCAAATCTTTTTATGTATTTTCTACCACATTCACAAAGCTGTAGCAATTTTGAATACACTATTACTTAGCAGATAGATAACAGTAATGTAAGAATACTTACTTTTTACCATCAAAAGATGTTATCTGAAAACAGTAACGTCTGTCTTCGCAGTCTACAGCCATTACCGAGCAATTGTCTATATCCATGACAAGTCCTCCAGCTACATCGCCTCTTGCTTGGCTCATCAAATTTCCACCTTGAGTGAAGTAAAACTGTCTCTCCCAAATGGAAGATACCAGCCCTGTCTTACTAAAACACAAAAAGAAATCATTACTTAGTAGGTTAGGAGTTCAGCTGAGCTGTATAAATTAGAAAATAAAATAAAAATGTCATGAGCAAGCCATCTGGGCATTTAAGAGAAAGTTTTCCTCATGTTTTAGGTTAACTTTACAACAAAATTATTCTCTTTCCATCAGTTGCTTTTTTTATTCTGTATACACTGCTGGGCAAAGTATACATAAATATTTGCTTTCTTAGGTTATATGAAACTTAGAATAAAAAGTCATAAATTCTTTAATTTTCATTATCAGTTTTTACAGTGTTGCTTAATGAAATATTCATATTCCACTAATATGAATTATCAACATAATTTCTAAGACATACAGAACTCTACGCTGCCTTACATAGTTAAAAAGACTAAGTCTTGGAGAACTTTGTGTTAAGCACTAGAAAAGACATGTAATGTATAATATCTCAGTTTTCCAAGTGTTTTGTATCATTCAGTAATATTCCCAAAATTTTGCTTACAGCATGATTTTTTATTTTTTTTTCCACAAGCAAGCAAAGGAACCCAAAACCAAAATGCAGTAACGCTTGTGGTTTAGCCTTCCTTTTTGGTCAGATACTCCTTTCTTCAATATTAATTGCTGCAATTGTTCTGCTGCAGAAATCCATGCCTCATTCAATGAGTATTTTACTCTATCTGTTGTTGCAAAATTAACCTGACTTTTGAAAAAATCTGCTTATTTGAAGTTTTCTACATAAATTATGGAAACAATCTTAGTGTTACAACCTATTTTTAACAAACCCAAAATTCAGCTGCTTAATTTCAATGACTAAAATTGTTGAACAGCTCCTTCCAGTGAACAACATGAAATTTCACCTCATGAAATTGTGAAGAATGCGTAACTAATTTCAAACAATATAATCATGCATTTCTAGGTCTCCTTTTCCCAAATTAAGTATTTTCTAAGTTTTAAGAAACTAGTCTTACTTTCTTGCATTGAGATAGCCAGCTTTCCGTGTTAGATTTCTATGAACAGGAAATTTCGTAGGATCAGGATCAGGCAAATACAGTGGATCACTAGCTACTTCCAAGTCCTCTATAGTTTGTTGCATGTTTTCTATTTCACACTCCATTTCCCTGCGAACACTAAAGTAAGTAATATGTTACTAACAAAGATAATATATTAAGAAATGGAAACAGAACAATAATTGTATTGATAGCAGTTCAAAATTTAACAAAAACAACTTACTTTTGTACGCTTGTGCCAATATTTGTCAAAAATTCTTCCAACTGCTCACTAAGATTTTCTGAACCCATTTTAAAAAAACTTATCTTAAAAAAAAGAGGAAAAAGGAGAATTTAGTCATGTATAAAACTAAATAAACAGTTAACAAATGAAACCATAGAAGGTTCAATCTTCTCAGAGAAATCAGGTTTTGTCCCACATTCCCACCTAAGTCTCAACAAAAGGAGCAGAATAGATATTTTTGTCTGCAAGTGAAGGTTGATGTTGGCACTGCACAGGAATCTAATTTTGTTGAGAGGATGCACACAAAGCCACCTGTATGAAATACAGAAATATGTGAATGTAGAAACTTGCCAGGGTGCCACCCACTAACAGTGGACCCCTTCCCCCACTGACATCATGCATCTTTCAACAATTTATTCCATATTGGAACTGCCACATCTAAATTGGATTTAGCCATAAGAAATCTTGAACAGGAAACCATTGGAGGTGACCCTACCACTCCCATTCTCAGATTAAACAAAACCAGCACCCAAGCAACAGGTTGCACTATCGACTTTATTACATAAAACAATTAGAACTTAGTTCTTATGTGCAAGCTCCAACGTTTGCCAGAGAGACAAGAGTTCTTCCTGGACTTGGAAAGCTATTAGACACTTCATAAGAGTTAATTCCTACAATCTGGCAGTGACAGATGCTAGAAAGTTTGCTTTTTTTCCTCCTCTTTTACAAAAGATACTGACAACATACTTCTGAAAATACAGCTGAAGTATCTCCAAAGAGCTTACTGCATAGCTGATTTTCTATTTCACTCATCCTGAAATAAACCCTTCATGAGTTCAGTTGTATTAAACAAAATCAAGACAGAATGACTATAAGCATTACAGTTTTCACACCCTTGATAAGAAATGGTAATGATGTGGTTTTGGTGATTATCTTATTTCAGAATAGCTGCCACAGGAAAGAGAGCTTAACTGGCTCCATGCTACTTTCTAAGAAGGTACACTTCCACAGAGACCTACATGCATCAAAGTTTTAATCAGCTATTCCTGTTAGTGATCCTGAGAGGAAAAAAAAATAGTACCAGCAACTAAGATTTAGGCAGTACATTAAATTCAGCCACCTAGGTTTTGCATTAGAACTAGGTCTTTGTATTTGGCACCAAGACTTTCCCAAAAGATTCTCCAACAGGAGTGAGAGCATGTCATGATGCGATTCAAAAAAATTCATATATTGAGCAGAAAAAGAATAGGGCTAATAATGATATTCACGGCAACAGACATGACAAGCTAGAGGGATGAGGATGGGGTTTGCTTCCCTGAATTGCAAGAGAAGTCTTGCAGTGAATTTCAGTAGATCAACCCCTATTAAGTACTTTTACACCTTTGAGGTTTACAACTTACAGAATCTGAAATTACCTGAGCTTGCATGTATCCTAGCAAGGGTTCTAGCATAGCAATTTTCTTTTTGTACTGAAGAGTATTTAATGCACAGAAATAATGCATCATAGTCTGATGCTGTTTTTTTCTGGAAGTATATACATCTTCTGTAACTTCAGCCTTGATCTAAAGAGATACAGACAGGAGAGGGAGGAAAAAGAATGTTTAAGCTTCAGCATTCATCACATGCCTTGTCAACAGCTTTATAACCAGCACACAAAAACCACCACAGTTCTACCCTCTATCATCAGCATTTGCATCTTTTGCATTACAACTCCCTTTCTCTAATTTACAGATGCATGAAAAATAACACTATTATTTTCTCCCCAGAAAGAGTAGTTCTTTCTTTACAAAATAACAAATATAGTATCACAACTTTCATCCTCTAGTTTTTTCAGAGTTACAAGACAGGCGTGCATTCAGGAAAGATGTTCTTGTGTTCTGAAACAAACTGGAGTGATAGAATGTCAACTGTCAAACTTCAAGTGCAATCTGCTGTACATTATCTTCCATCATAATTACATATATTAGACAAATTATTTCTCATCTCTAAAAAATACTTATATTTTTATTTTGTATTTTGTTTTACGAACCTTTTCATTTTCCCTTCTTTTTGACAACCGACTGTATCGGGTAATGGCAGCATCATGGTCTAAGCAATGAAGAGAGAATTTATAGTCATTTTGGTAAATTAATCACTTCTGAAATAGAGCATAAAACCTTTTATATCACTTTGTATTGTAACACAAGCCAAATGCAGAGTTCTGCCATATTAAAACCTTTAAGAATTGCTCTTGCTTCTTCATATTTACTACATGGAAAACTATTAAACTCATTTTAGGGAGGTAAGATGTTTTAAAATTATTCTATTTTAAATCCTGATTTTAAAAAGTGAGCTAACACCTTATTCTTTAAATTGTTTTTTGTTGCATAATCCCGAACTATTTAATAACAATATATACATCAAAAGTATTGTAAGAAATAATTTCTATTTGCCTTAACACTTTGGTATATAGAGCAGAGATTTACAAGTGATCCAAGGACACCTGGATGGCTATACAAATATCTTCACTGATTTTCTGAGTATGTTATCTACGATAACACTGTCATATTTTAACACATGTAACATTGAGTATTTTACGCTTACCATTGCTTGCAATTTGGAAAACTTCTTTTAGAGTTAATATCTCTACAAAACAAAATATCACAGTTCAATTAAGTTATTATAAACATAACATTTATATACATAAAGACTTCTCAGGCAATGTTACATTACTGAGTAGCTGTAGCTGATAGCTTGCACCATACAGCACAGGCATTACACAGCCAGATAAGTCTGTTCCTACTTAGGGCCCGAGTATTGTTTATGCCGGTATCTGACTTGCCAAAAATGACACTATTTTCTTACAAGGTAAGGAGAAACTTCTTTCCCAAAAACTTTGACAAAGATCATTAGTCCAAATGCATCACCTGCAGTTCTGGTCAGAGCTCTGGTCTTCGCTGGCTAAGTGGAAACACAAAAGAAAGGGAAGGAAAAGGGAAAGGCCCAAACAAGGCCCAAACGTAATGTGATTCCTCCCACACGTGTGATTCCTCCTACCTAAAATGAGCGATGCCCTAGATGCTTTTTGTCTTGCTTATTCAGGAAACAGAAATCAGTACAATACTTAGCGCTACTTGCTCTGATTATGATCATGCTTTTTGTGTCACATCACAACATAAGCAAGGAAAGAGCTATATTCAACTTCATGGTAAATCAAAGACAAAGGAAAAAAAAAAACATGGAAGAGCTTTACAGAAAGTGTCTGTTAATTATGTAAAGAAGTATTGTATCATTAAACACTATGTTTGCTGGTATTTAAAAAAAAAAATGCCACTGGGAAAATTTCATTTGGAATTATTGCCTTGGGGATGCTTCTTCAGAAAATACTAACAGACCTTCCAAAGCTCTGAGCAGTAATATTAGCCTTGAGAAGTTCATCATTAGGGTTTTAAGTTATTTTGTTTTTAACTTCAGCTTATATTTGAAACCTCTTTGCCACACAAGTCTATTCAATTTAGCACCTTGAGTAAAATCTATCATACTCAGGTCTATTATTTTAGATCAAGCAGATTAAGATACATCTGTTACAAAAATAAGCAGTTGAAAGCATCTTATGCTTGCACATAAGACAACATCTTTGTTACCAGCAGGGCTGAAGAATTACCTTAGTAAACCTTAATAATAAAATATGTATCACAACTTTGGCTTTTGGAATTCAGTCCAGACATTATATTGATGTCATGGTATTAATATTTCCTGAACATATCTGAAAATTATTCTTTCCTAATGTTTACAGCAACTGCAAAACTTTTATCTTGAATAGATAAATGCTTCTATAACAACTAGTATTTTTGTGGTAACAGCAGCAGTAGTGTTTAACTACTGTAATACTGTGATGAGTAGAAACAATTTACAAAAAAAAGGAGATGCATTCTTCTGAGGATATGCAACTTATTTTTCAGCTCTATTAAGTGACATAAGAGCTATAGAGATGGAATGCTGTAATTTCATTATTGCTGCCATTGATAAAAGCGTTGTTTGTTTGACAACAATACCTTTTAGATCTCTTTCCTTAAACTGAGTAATAGGAAACATCATTGCATCTGCAAGTTGAGTTGAAAGTACTGCATGGCAAGAGCTGAGCTGTAAAAGACAAAAGAAAGAAGAAAATTTTAGGAAAATAGTGCTAAGACTAAAGAAAAACAAGAAAACAAGATAGGTTTCATTTAGGGATGACAAGTACAACTTGAATGTAATTTTGCAAATTCATTTTCCCAGCAATTGTATTCTAGGTTCCTGATCTCATCACCAGTTTTTTATAGAAGACCTTCAGCATTTAGTATTTGTCCCTACCTGCCCTGACTATATTCCAAATTACTGGATCATGTCAGAAGACAGCCTCATACCTTCTGAAGGTAAGTTAAATTATTATTACCTTCTGAAGGTAGGTTAAATTATTATCAATTTATTTCTATAGTTCTCCAACTACATCACAGCCTGTCCTTCTCAGGTTACAGAGGAAGAACAAATGTTTTCTTCCTTCCAAAGGGCAGTGTTTAAACTGAGGAGAGGGATCATGAGAAAAATCCCAATTCAGACCTTAATGATGCTAAGTTGTCTTTCAGAAGAGGCAGTCACTTAGTCTCTGTCCCTAATACAGACAGCAAGTGGCTCCTCTGTCAGTTAGGCATCTGAAATGAGGGAATGCAAATACCCTCATGGAATGCAGTTTCTAATGGTCATTTTGTAATGTTTTTTGGCTGCATCTACAGTAAGTTAAGCTACATTCATTCTCAACAATGCATCCTTATGTTTAAAGTTACATAACCTGAACATAAAGAATTAATTCAGCAACCTATGTTGCAATATAAAAATTAAGCATTATCTTATTGTCAAGTGAAGGGCTTTTCCGTACCTCCTATCTTAAAGAAGACTAGAGTGATTAAGCAAGTCAAAGCACATACATAACAAACATTAGCATAGTAAATTAAAATAAATACAAGTACTTGCCTCATCAATCACTTTTGAAAATTGCTGTAAAGTGGAAGTCATAACTTCATCATCTCCCCCTAGCGGAAAATGCTATTAAAAAAAAAAAAAAAAAAAGGCATGCTGGTTGCAGTGCTTTCTGCCATTCACATAACTGTAACAATTATTTCTATTGTACTAGGTATTATTTTAAAATTTTAAAATATTTTAAGTTTATTTTATTTATATTTATTAAAATTTATTTTAAATTTATATTTTAAAATATTATACGGTTGAAATACATTGCGAGACTATTTTGTGAAGCTTTTTTTTTTAAACTGTCTTGTGATATGAGAATACTTCAGAAGTTAATTAAAAATAGTCCTTTCTTTTTGAATCTGTTTTCCAAATTATCTCTAGCATTCAGGGAACAATGTTAACCTGATGTCTATGAGTTATGTCACAGGGGTGATTTATTGTCACTAGGAGTATTCCCCAGGCTCAGTTCTAGGGCTGGTCCTGTTGAACATTGTTATCAATACTTTTTATCAGCACCAAGGTGCTGGTAAAAGGACTGGAAAGCCTGTCCTGCAAGGAGAGTCTGAGGACACTTAGGTTGCATAGTCTGGAGAAAAGGCTCTGAGGTGGCCTCTTTGCTCTCTGCAGCTTCCTGAGGAGAGGAAGCAGAGAGGGAGGTGCCAGTTTCTGCTCCTTGGGAACTGATGGCAGGGTAACGGCACAAAGCTGCATTACAGGGAAGACTCAGACTGGATATTAGGAAAAATATTTTAGCATGAGGGTGGTCAAACACTGGATCATGGTTCCTAAAGAGATGGATGCCCCAAGCCTGTCAGTGTTCAAGAGGCATTTGGATAATGCCCTCATTAACACGCTTTAACATTTGGTCAGCCCTGAAATGATAAGGCAGTGAACTTAATGATCTTTATAGATCCCTTCCAACTGAACTATTCTATTCTATTCTAATGCAACATTACTCTGAGCAACCCCCAAAACATTGATCCAAAAGTGAAATCTTCTATAACTTACTAATATTCATCATGTTAAGGGGAACTTACTTAATTCTGGAAAATAGTAGCAGTAAGACTAGTTTCTCTCCAACAGACCATTTATGCACACCATTTTTTACACAGAATGGAAGACAGATGTATTTTTATCAGAACTGGTATGAACACGGTGGATCAAATCTTTCCCAAAAGAATCATCTAACTGTAACATTTCATTTCATCTGGATCAAACCTAAATACATTCTGTATTGTGCTCTGGGAGATAAAAACAAAAACAAAAAACTACAAAAACATAGTCCTGACCATGCAAAGAGAACGGTGATTTACACTATACCTGTTTCTCATATTCCTTCAGAAGCTTTGAAGTCAGATGAGTTGCTGCACTTAATTCATTCTAATTCAGAAAAAAAAAAAAAGCTTGTTACTTATTGATTTAAATTTATATATATATTTTTAAATCACATATTTGAAAAGGATACTAATATAGACATGGAACTTCAAAGAAGAAATCCTGATTGCAGATTTTCAGAAAACCTAAGAGTCCTGCCCTTACATTTCTTTAACATTACTGAGAGTTACAAGTAATCAGTATTAACAAATACCAGGTTTCCAGCTTGCACTATGCACAGTGACATCTGTATTTTTGGTGCTATGCAGTACATATTTGCTTTTGAATCAAATTAGCTGGCCTTGTTACTGTAAATTAAAAGAATTGTTATCTGTGAAGGAAAGAAAATACTAGAATGAACCTCAGTACTACCTGGCTACAAATGGCTTTGACTTGTACACATGCAGAGGAACTAATTAGCAGCTTCATGGTATGGAAGAGCTTCATCTTTCACAATGCAGATGAACAGGAGAAAGTACAGAAATTAAAAGCAAATTGAAAGGCAATAAAATTAAATAGCAGGAAAGCTACAATAAGCACACCAGTCATTAAGTAAAAACAACAGGAAGATAAAAATAGGAAAAGCAAGACCAACAAATTAGCAAAAATGTTAAACAGTCCAAGTATACACCAATTAAAAATACAACCATAAGCGTAATTATTCAGAAAAACACACAAAATAAATTCTGCCTTTGGTGTAAAAGCACAGTTACTAATGATGAGTGAAAACATATAAATATGTTGTGGGTAAAAAAGAATGTCCCACTTGGTACACACTATTATGCACTGTAAGACCACAATGGAGAGCATTTTAGAAACGCCTGGGAAATACAGTAAAATAAGTAGAAGATGAGAAAATGGGAAAAAACTGGTAAGAGTGGCTGACACACCAGAAGACTGTGCTGCCATTCAGCGAGACCTGGACAGGCTGGAGAGACGGGCAGGAAGAAACCAAATGAGGTTTAATAAGAGCAAGGATAGAGTATTGCACCTAGGAAGGAACAACGGTTCACATCAGTACAGGCTGGGGGACAACCTACTGGAGAGGAGCTCTGAGGAGAAAGACCTGGGGGTCCAGGTGGACGACAGGTTGACCATGAGCCAGCAGGATGCCCTGGTGGCCAAGAGGGCCAATGGGATCCTGGCGCGCATTAAAAAGAATGTGGCCAGAAGGTCAAGGGAGGTGATCCTCCCCCTCTACTCTGCCCTGGTCAGGCCTCACCTGGAGTACTGTGTCCAGTTCTGGGCTCCCCGGCACAAAAAATACAGGGATCTCCTGGAAAGAGTCCAGCGGAGGGCCTCAAAGATGAGATGGGGCCTGGAGAATCTTCCCTATGAGGAAAGGCTGAGAGACCTGGGTCTGTTCAGCCTGGAGAAAAGAAGACTGAGAGGGGATCTTATTAATGTTTATAAATACCTGAAGTGTGGGAGACAGAGGGATTTGGCCAACCTCTTTTCAGTAGTTTGTGGGGACAGGACTAGGGGTAATGACCACAAGATGGAACACAGGAGTTCCGCACCAACATGTGAAATAACTTCTTCACAATGAGGGTGACAGAGCAGTGGAACAGGCTGCCCAGGGAGGTTGTGGAGTCCCCTTCTCTGGAGATATTCAAGGCCTGTCTGGATGCCTACATGGGCAGCCTGCTCTAAGGAACCTGTTTTGGCAGGGGTGTTGGACCCGGTGATCTTTCAAGGTCCCTTCCAACCCCTACAATTCTGTGATTCTGTGAAAATCTTTTTACTTGTCATAAGAAGTTCTACTGCAAAAGAAATTCCAGGTGATGGTCAGAATTTAGTTTTCACTATCCCCTAGCATACAGAAAAACAATTATTTAATTTCATTTCCATATAGTTTAAAAAATATATATATATTACTTATTTAAAAAAAAAAAAACAAGAGACATGAAATGTCATTCAAAAACTGTATATGCATTCAGGAATTTCTGTAACACTACCTGTGCATCATATACTCTGTGCATCGCTTGAAATAACTGATTGATGTAATTGGAAATTGCAGCAGCATCTTCTTCAAATACTCCCAGCAGAGAACGGGTCTGCAGAAACATTAACATGGCAAATTAGCAAAGAAGTATTTAAATGTAACAGAATTCCAAAGTTAAGGAGCTTTGTTTCAGGTTTCATTACTGAAAAATTTATAAAGCCCCAAACATTGTTTACAAGAATGCTACAAGTTTTTTAAAAAAGGTATCTTAAAAAGTTATCCAAGCTCCATCTCACCAGTACCATCAGCCTCTCTCCAGGTTAAAACAAGTACATTTTCAGAAAGGACCAACAGGAATGGATAGGCATAAAAACATTGGAACAGCGGGCAACCACTGGACCCACTATGGTACACTCCTAAGGAAAATGGTAAAGATGACTGGAATTAAACAGCATGCCAGGTACACACATTTCTTCTGCAAGGAGGAGAGCCATGGCTTTCTGGTGCTATCCATCCTGCACAAAGACAGCTGCTGGCTGTGCTCGGACATACAATTCACCTCTGCTATAACAGTCAATTCCATGGCCAAAAGGCTGAGAAACTGAAAACAACCAAAGCAAACAAACCAAACAAGAAAACAGCTCATAGGATCTACATCTTCTTCTTGCAATTTATGTTTCCTCCCCTTCACCACTCCACAATGAAAGTATCTGCCCATTTTGTCCAGTTCCCCCAGCTCCTCAGTCAGCCTGTGCCTTAGCTTGGGGCACCCACAAGGCTGATGACTGCACATCCTGTTGATCACTCCCCAATGGTTCAGGCAGCACCATCTCTTTATCACTGTCCACCTATTAGACTGTGGAGGAATGGTTAAGTGAGGCAGGACATGTGGATGTTGAGCAGTTGGGAGACAATGGGCTGGTGAAACACCGTACTCAACTCACATGAGCCTTGGCACGTATGCAGCTGGCTGAGAGCCAATCAGGCTCAAGGACACGATGCCCTTGGGCCATCGGGGAAAGTCCCTAAGGCGGGACAGGTAGCCAAAAGAAGGAGGACCAGACTGAAAAGCCCGGGAAGTGTTAACCAATCCTGAGCTTAGTTTCTGCAATATGTATGAGTTGATTATGTTCAAACTAGATAAAAGGCGACTGAGCTATCCATTAAAGTTGAAGTTCACTGTTCACTCATACTGAGCGTCTGTGTCTTCCTTCCGTCGACAACAAATTGGCACCCGAACAGGGACCGGTCTGAACGGGATTTGGACACTGCTGGCAGTGATCCAGGGCCACGGTTGGACGGAATAAGGGAAGCCGGTCCTGCAACGCAGCCCAGGGGGTGGAAAGGACAAGAATCCCCGCACCCGCGCCGGGAAGGTGAAAAGGACGTGGAGTCCCCCGCACCCGGGAGTGGATCCCGCCGGTCGCGCGTCGCCGAGATCTACAGCTCAGAAGGTGGAAGGGAGTCCCCGCACCCGGGATGAGCCCATATAGGGTCCCACCGGAAAAGCGCCGCCGAGGTCTTTGCAAAGGCTGCAACCGACGTATATAAAGGTATGAAAAGATAAGCGGCGTATTATTTGCTCAAATGCTTTTTAGAAAAGCGGAGCATTTTAGATATAGATTGTAGAAAAAGATTTGTCAGGGTTATTAGTATATGGGATAGCTAAGGGTTGTTTTACAAATCCTGACAGTTTTTTGAACAAACAGAGTGACGTAAATTTGGAAATAAATTGTTTGATGATGTTAGGAACGATATTAAGTTTGCTGGGAGATTTGATGAGGCCATGGAGAGCAGTGGCTAATGCATTAGCCACACATAAAGATGAACAAAGAGTTGCCACTGCTGCAACAGAGTGGTTAGGACCACCAAGAAGGGTTAATAATGTTAATCCACAGCAAATAAATATGGAAGGAACAGATTGCCCGTTGCCACCTTCCGTTAGAACTTTTACTATTACACAGGGGGTCTCGGGAATTTCAGGGGTGCCTGTGACAATGTCCTCTGTAGCAGAGGATGAGCTCTCACTACCAACAGCTCCAACTGCTCCAATAGAAAGTGAGAAAGGAGCAAGTGAAAGGACCAGTGCTAACTCATTTCTATCAAATCTGAATCCCTTCACAACGGGGGTGCAGGGAAGAGAAGGTCTATGGAGGCAAATAGCAAATGAGGCACTGCGTGAAGGGAATTATGAAACGGCAGCACAGTTAACACAAGCTTTTCTGGTAGTATACTCGCCACCAGATGCACAGGGGAATGTGACCGTTAATATTACAAATTTAGACTGGAAACTATTAACTCAATTACGATCTACCGTAAATGATTCTGGTTTAAAGGGGGAACCTACTCGGCAAATGTTAGATTATATTTGGGGAACTAATATATTGCTCCCCGGGGACATACGTGGTATAATGAAGCTGATCCTAACACAACATCAACAGCTTCTTTTTAATGCGCATTGGCAAAGTGTTTGTCAAGAGGCAGTAGCTGCGATAAGGGCACCTGGAGATCCGTTGTATGGTGTCACGTTGGAGGAATTGATGGGACTCGGACCATATTATAGATTAGAGACACAAGCGTTGCTGGGTCCAGACAAAGCTAAAGAATCAATGAGATTGGCTCGAAGAGCCTTGGACCAAATTAGAGAGCCAGGGGGGATACTGATTAAGGAGGTATTGGGGAGGCATTGGGGAGGCAAGGACAATCCCCAGACATGGACTGTGTATCTCGAAACAAGACACTGGAACTCATGATAAGGAAGCGGCAGACGGACAGAGAAACAAATGTAAGGACTATAAATCTCAAAACTGGACATTGGAATTCATTATAAAGATACAACAAACGGAAGAATTAGCAACAACCAGCTCTCGCAATTAAGAAACGTGCCAATTCAGCAGATTTCTGACCAAAGGTGAAAAGTACGCTGTGAGGAAGACTCGGGGTCTTCCTCCCAAAGACCCCTGCCCACAATTCTTGGAAGGCTCTACGCAGGCGCAAGGTGCCAAAAGGCTAATTAGCATGAGAAGCGAGGGAAGGCGGGGATTGGTAATGCATATGTATAGGTGCTTGTAGAATATTGATAGATTGATTGTATAAATTCAAGACTGCTTTCTGCTTTGGGTATGCACGATAGGTGGAGAGATCCCCCGTGCATCCAGCGCTGCAATAAAGAATATACCACTTAAAGGAATTTCGGCTTCGATCTTTGAATCAATACCATCCTATATGGGCATCAAGCAAGGAAGGGAGGAACCATTTGCGTTGTTTATTGATCGAGTAGCAAACGCAATACAAGCAGCTGGGGTACCTGATTATCTAAAGGGCACTATTCTAAAGCAGTGTGCAATTCAAAACTGCAACCCTTCAACTCGTAGTATATTAGCTACGTTACCGGGAACTTGGACAATTGAGGAGGGTTTAGAAAGGATGGCTCAGGTACCCGTGGGTCCGCAGGCTATGTTGGTAGATGTAATAAAACAAGTAGGGAATAGCATGAAAGAACAGGCACAGGTATTCAGAGAGACTGCACAGCAATCGCAGAATCAAGTATTCGCTGCCCTTGCTCCTTTGCAAACGCCCGGAGGCCGTCCTACTGGCTGAGGGTCTTCACTGCAACCGCGTTGTTTTCACTGTGGGATCACCGGACATAGGAAACGAGAGTGCAAAACGAGATCAGTGTGGTGTCAGAACTGCCAATCCAATACGCATAACACAGCGATCTGTCGGTATGGTGCGTCGGGAAACGGCCAGAGCAGCGGGAAGGACCGCCCCGCGACGACACAAAAAGCGGCGTTTACCACAGCGGCTGGAACGACACCGTTTACCTCCGACCAGCCACCAGAGGGAGTCTCGGCTTGGATTTGACAACAGCAGTAGATGTAATGCTATTGGACTCTAAACCCACCAGAGTAGGAACAGGAGTTATGGGACCAGTTATTGTCAATGGTGAAACTGTGGGAGCTTTATTGATCGAAAGATCGTCTGCTACCTTGAATGGATTACAAATATTGGTTGGACTTACAGATAAAGACTATTGTGGGGAAATACAGATTATAGTTTCTGCAATGTTTCCTCCAATGCATGTGCCGCAGAATACAAAGATAGCTCAATTAATTCCGTTGCCACACCTTGCGGCATCTCTACCACCGATGGTCAATAAGGACCGAGGACTCGGAGCATTTAGCTCCACAGGAAAAATAGCGTTATTAACGCTTGGCATGCAGCAGAGACCACGACAGAAAATCACAGTATGTTTAAAGGATGAGAAACTGCAAATTGAGGCATTGTTGGACACTGGCGCAGATGTGACAATAATCAGTGCGCAAAGTTGGCCACCGCATTGGCCTACATTCGAATCCAGTACCACTGTAGCAGGAGTAGGAGGTATAACTATTGCTCGTCGATCACCAGTACTGCAATGGACAATAGGTGACAAAGTTGTAAAATGCAGTGTATCTGTCTTACCGTTGCCAGATGGAGTACAAGCACTGATAGGGAGAGATTCTTGCTCAGATGGGAATGGTTCTTACGTCAGACCACCATTTATAGGTATTGCTTGGACTCTCCCAATCCCACTAAAATGGAAAACTGATGAACCTGTGTGGGTTGAGCAGTGGCCACTAAAACGGGAAAGTCTAATACATGCTCACAGGCTAGTACAAGAGCAGTGTCAACAAGGGCACCTAAGACTGTCAACAAGCCCTTGGAATACTCCAATTTTTGTGATTCCCAAGAAATCGGGGAAATATCGTTTACTTCACGACCTGCAAGCGGTTAATAATCAAATGTGTGCCATGGGAGCACTGCAACCTGGTCTACCTAATCCTGCTATGATACCAGAGGGTTGGCATTTATTGATTGTGTATCTGAAAGACTGTTTTTTCACAATAGCCCTCCATGAAAATGACAAACAGAGGTTTGCCTTTACTCTCCCGGCAATAAATCGTGAAGGTCCAGATCAAAGATTTGAATGGACTGTATTACCCCAGGGAATGCGTAATTCACCTATGTTATGTCAGCTTTATGTTGACGCAGCTCTGCAACTGATTCGACGAAAATGGCCGGAGACAATAATCTATCATTACATGGATGATATTTTGTTAGCCCAGAAGG